AGTTAATGGCTACGTTTACACCGTGCGCTTAGTCCGCGACCTATGCAATAGGTGTCTTTGTTTAATATACAGGATAAACAAGGACATCTATTGTATAGGCCGCGGCCTAAATGCACGGTGTAAACGTAGCCACTATGAACGAAAGCATTAAAATCCTATGGTTGAACTTTACCGGCACCTGTATTACGCAAAGTGGGAATACTAATTTTTTGCACACTTGCTTACGATATCTCTGAAAAAATGACAGTTAATGACCGAACAAAATGTGATTAAAACATTTTACAAAACTAATTACAATTTCGAGGTACTCTCTTTACATAATTATCATTTTTACAAATTCAGACAACTGACATCTACAGCATCATGGTGAATTCCGAACTATGAATAATATCATAGTTATACAGACAAGTAGCATCTGTATATTTAGCTGGAAGTATTTGTCAACGAGAAAAATAATCATTTGTAATAAATGACTATCGTCATAAGATTATACCATTTAAACATTAAATTTCTTATAAATATAATCTATATTATGTTATATAAAACGTATTTTATTAATAACTTTTTCAAACATTATGAAGTTACATATATGTGTACATATATGTGATTCAATTTCTTGGCGCTTATCAATTTAGAATATGGAAAAACTTTGTATAGTATTCGTAAGAATATATTAGACAAATTAACTATTAATCTCAATTTATTGTCTTTTTAATGTGATACAATTGTTAATACAATTCAAAAAGTTTTCGTTTTAGCGCTTAACTACTAGAATACTATTGATAAGATATGATAATTCACATTATTCGGCTCCTAAAATACTAGACCACGAAGCAAGAGATAAGGAGACTCACAGTTGCTGTTTCTTTGTTACTCGTTCGTTACAATTGATATGCTTCAGAAACTCGGCAAAAATCAACCCAAAATATATAAATTCGCTAGTGTCCTCTCTCCTTGACAATTGTCTAGATCCATCTGCAGTGTCCTTCCAATTCGGCGCACAAAACGGTTCTATCTTTTTTCACGGAGTCTCCTTACTTCTTATTTCGTGTACCGGACAAAAAGTTTTGTCACAAGCTTCTTCGGTTTGACTATACTCTTTAGACTGCGGTCCACTTGATGTTTCTAAATTCTCTAAACGATATGCTCCGGTTGGTCCATTAGTTATAAATGCTACAATCGCAACTCAAATGAATCAGGGTTGTAGCATTTGTAGCGCCATATGGATTTCCGTTGCATGTTGAAACAAAGTTGTTGAAAAAACTATTTTAAATAAGCAATATTGTTGCAACGTATTTTTATGAACGTTTTAATTTTTTAAAAAATCTTACGAATTTATATACATAGAACTAATACAAATTTCAAGACGGTTCTTAACCTCCTTTGCACATATATTCAGAAGCATAAAACGAATGATACTTAAAGATTATTCATCTTTTGAAGCACGAGCAAATTCTTCATCATTCAAATTAAATATATAAACATTATTTGTTTCCGTGTCAGTAATTTCTAATTGTGACATTTTAATGTACGTTTTACAACTTATCTTCATTTTTGATTCACATTTCCCGCCAAATGCTTACAATGCTCTGGCTAAAGCCCGTATCAGACTATCGACTCTGCAAGCCGACCCGACTGCCAACTCTGGCTGTTGACCAATAATGGACCAATCACATTGAATCAGTCTTATTGTGATTGGTACATTGTTGATCGGCAGTCAGAGTTAGGTCGGCCTGCAGAGTCGGTAGTCTGATAGGGGCTTTACCCACCTCGCGAGGTGAGGCAGTTGGAGCGGAAGTGGGAGTGAAAACGATGACGTAATGATGACGTCATAGGCATTGCTAGGAACGTGCCGAAGCGTCAAGTAGACCAGCCAATCGATGCTCCAAATGCTTCGTAGCGTTTGAAGCGCCAAGTGGATCTTAGAGTTAGTGCTAATCTATCTTACGTATCCGCGCATTTCAAACGATTTGTGTGCAAAGATAATCATGTTCAAATCAATACAGCGTGAGGTGTCGTGGGACCGCTATCGCTTCATTGTGACTACCCTCGCTCGTTCTTTTCACTATAACAGTTGTGAAATCATATCGACGATTCCGAATCAGAGGAACGTCTGTATCCGAAATTTTTCGTCGCAATCACACAAAATAGTGAAGGCGAGGAAATATGTGGTGGTAAATCATTTCGTTAATGAAGCGAAACCGACGGATCTAAAACTAGTGGAAGAAGAGTTGCCGCTGTTGCAGAATGGAGGTAAAAAGAAAAGATGTAATTGTCATAAATATCCAGCTATATACACTGCCAGTATTGAAAATCTATAGGCCCGTATTCAGAACGCGCTTTTATCTCTGAAATTCTATAATATATGTAACGTAAAGTATAGTATGTTAAGCCCGATCTACAATTGCGTAAACGTAAACGTAAGATTATGGGAGTTGTAAATGTTGTACAATATGTTAATCTACAATCGAGTAAAGTAACTAGATTACGACGACTAATTAAAATGAATTTTCGATGACGGTATTGATTATGTACCATGGATAGACTGAAAATACTTTTGAGATGGCAAAAGAATATTTCGCATTCGTTTCCATACGTCAAGACAAAACGACGATAAACAGATACGTGGCAGCACTCTGATTGGTTCACTCTTACGTGGTTTACGCAGTCGTAGTCGTGAAAGGTAAAGTTAAACCATCTTTCACGACACGCTTTACAACCGGTAGTAGCAGATTAAAATTTCGCTTTACAACATTTTACAATCACTTACAACTACGTAATTGTAGATCGCGCTTAAAGCCCATTCTACAATTGCGTAAGCGTAGTTGTAAGTGGTTGTAGTTGTAAGAATTAACCTATCACAGTCAAATATGAGGAGAATACGGTCGGTTTAAATGAAACTTTACGAGGACAAATTTAAGTGTTTACTTTATAATTATAACAATTTTTAAATTGCTGTCTTATACGCAAGTGTCTCAATTTAAAAAAGAATAACTACAGAATAAGGTTATACCTTCAACTTGTAATGTAAAATTCTATAAATTTAGAATTAAATATCTTCAAAATGGTGTACGGTAAAAGTCAATGAAATTTTTTTAGATATTATTGATATTATTAACTTTTGCATTACATGTATATTACAGACTTGTCTTATATTTCATCAAACGCGAGAACCTCCTTAAGATATTTCTCTGGCTACAATCGCTCTGGCTTTCAATCTACGAATATGCGATATGCCTTTTCGGGCGTGCTCTCTGAAGAGAGAAACTTTTGAGGCCAGCGTACACATACACGCATAAATGTCGTATTTGTGTACACGAACACTAGTCCGCACTGAAGACAGTTGAAACGTGGCAACAGCATATCGTTATTCAAAAATTACAAATTTAAACTACTCTAATTCAGAAACGGTACCGCTAGACCTATTTTTTTTATAAGGCTCTTATAATATTTCTACATTATATATTTTATACATAGTTTATTTTTTGTTTATTTTGTTTATTTTTTTATTATTTTTTACGAGCTTGTATTTCTTTTATATCTAATGTAATACCTTGTTTTAATCGTCTTACTGGCTTGTAACAGCAGTTCTGCTGATATCTTGCCATTTGTTGTATGTAAATTTTATGCATTGCAATAAAGTATGAATATGAATATGAATACATATTTATTTAAAAAAAAAAAATCTGTAGAAAAGATTTTCGCTGCTAAATATTAAAACGTTACTTCGGCAAAGCTTGGTATAGAAGTTTACGTATTAAAAGCTAAAACTTTGAAAAGAGAGAGAGATGAATAACTCCATTTCGGCACCGCTAGGGTTTTTGAAATTTTAACCATATATAGATAAAATTATTTTAAACATGATATCCAAATTTCAAAAAATCTATAAAAACTCAATTTCTCGGAGAAATACCTTAAATACGAAGAAACGCCATCACGGTACAAAGATAGATGTTTTGAAAAATACAATATATATTCTTTATTAAATCAATTCATTTCAAATATGATCGCGCGCCGATACCTTTCGGACTTTCGATACAATCAGTTTGAAACGCTAATAATCCCCCCTAAATTAAATTAGAAAAAACGTAAAGAACTTATTGCGAAAAATATTACCTCAGCCACGATTCGAATCTGGGAAATTATTTTACGACGAAAGCTTTTTTTCTTTTAGAATATCTCACGGAAGCTGAATATTTTTCTGTGGACCCATACATGAAACCGTACGTGAAAAGATATCCGCTCGGAATCACGATGATCGGAACTCAAATTGCCAAGATCGTAGAATCTAAGAATCCAGCCTTTCCAGTTGGCAAGAGGATCGTCGGAAACATGGGATGGAGAACTCACACGATTGTCAATCCGAAATTCAAAGATTTGGTGTTCCAAGAACACCCGTATCTTTTGCCAGACATAGGTGACTTGCCGTCGTCCCTTTGCCTTGGCGTTTTAGGAATGC